CTCCACCCAGAGGTGGTACACAGACTTTTCCAAGTGTGGGGAACTCCCCAGGTGGACCTGTTCACGAGTCGGCAGAACCATCGCTATCCCCGGTTCTGCTCTGGGGAGGGGGCGGCTGGGACGGGGCGCTATCTCTGATGCCTTCCTCCTGTCCTGGTCAGGCCAGTTTCTCTATGCCTTTCCCCTGTTCCCGCTGATCAGCAAGGTCCTGGAAAAGATAAAGACGGACAAGGCCCCGGTCCTTCTGATTGCCCCAGCATGGCCCAGGAAGCATTGGTACGGGACCCTCATGGGCCTGGCGGTCGCCCCGCCATGGCCGTTGCCTTTCCGCCCAGACCTTCTCTCCCAGGACCAGGGCCACCTCCTCCACCTCATGGCGTGACTGCTCAATGGTTAGCTAGGGAGGAAAGGACGTGCTCAGAAGGGGTTCAACGCGTCCTCCTAGAAAGCAGGCAGCCCTCCACGCGCTGAGCCTACTTGGCAAAGTGGTCTCGGTTTTCCAAATGGGCGGACGAGCGGGACGTTTCTCCAGTGGCTGCCCCGATCCAGCTTATTCTGGACTACCTCCTCCACCTTAGAGCCCAGGGCCTGGCACCCTCGTCAGTCAAAGTGCACCTGGCGGCCATATCGGCCTTCCATCCTCCGGTGTAGGGCCTCGCGGTGTTCTCCCATGCTATGACTGGCCGATTCCTTAAGGGGTTGGATCGTCTCTTCCCATATGTTGGGCCCGCAGTGGGACCTAAACCTGGTGTTGGCCCATCTCACAGGGCTCCCGTTTGAGCCGCTAGCCACGCGCTCCTGGTCCCTCCTCTCTTGGAAGGTGGCCTTCCTGGTTGTGATCACGTCGGCCAGGCAGGTCTCGGAGCTCAGGGCCCTGACCTCCAAGCCCCCGTACATGGTGTTTCATAAGGATAAGGTCCAGCTCCGCCCACACCCTTCGTTCCTCCCGAAGGTGGTCTCCGCCTATCACATGGGTCAGGACATTTTTCTACCAGTCCTCTGCCCCAAGCCCCACGCGTCGAGTGAGGAGCGCCGTCTCCACATGCTGGATATGAGATGGGCTCTGGCCTTCTACCTGGAGCGGACTAAGCCGTTCAGAAAGTCCTCACAACTGTTCATCGCCTCGGCCGAGCGCATGAAAGGTCGGACAATCTCTACCCAGCGGCTCTCCAACTGGATCACTTTGTGCATCCATACCTGTTATGATCTGGCAGGAATCCCTCCGCCACCAATTGTGAAGGCGCACTTGACTCGGGCGCAAGCCTCGTCGGCTGCCTTTTTCACCCACCTCCCCATCCAGGACATTTGTAGGGCTGCCACGTGGTCTTCAGTTCATGCAATCATCTCCCAGGGATGACGCTAGGTTTGGCAGGGCTGTACTCCGTCCCGAGAATTTGTGAACTCCTACCCACCTCCAACAGATATAGCTTGGAATCATGTATTTTGGAATACAAATGAGCAATCACTTGAAGAAGAAAAGACAGTTACCTTTTCCATAACTGGTGTTCTTTGAGATGTGTTGCTCATGTCTATTCCACATCTGTCCCGCCTTCCCCTCTGTCGGAGTTGTTTGGCAAGAAGGAACTGAGGGTGGAGGGAGCGCGCAGTGCCCCTTGTACTGTGCCATGGAGGTGCCACTCCAGGGGTCGTTGGGGCGCTCCCCTACAGATACTGCTAGGGGAAAAACTTCCGGCACTGGTGCACGTGGCGAGCACGCACACCTATTGTGGAATAGACATGAGCAACACATCTCGAAGAACACAAAAAAGGTAATTGTCTTTTATTCCTAAAAGATGAAGTAATGGTATTAATCAGAGAACACTGTGAGAGAAATGTTCATGTAAATTACCAGAATAGGCAAAAGATTAAATTCTGAACCTTAAGTGAGTGTTCACCCATCTCTTTCCCTGAACTTTCTGATTAATCACTCACTCTCATCAGTTTCCTTCAGACTTTCATAACTCCTGTCCTCTGTTGGTTCTCCTACCATTCTGGTTGTTTTTCAGTGTGCCTTGAGATGTGTCTTCCTCCTACTCTGTCCCTCTTATCACAGGTGTTTCCCAGGGCTCCATGTTTGATCAATGCCTCCTTTCCCTCAAATCTGTGTTTCTAGGTGACACCACCTACTCACATGACATCATCAACCATCTCTACACCAGCAACTCTGAACCTTCTTCTCCATTTCTGATCTCTCTCTCTTTACTCAATGCTGCATCTCTTATTCTTACTCTGATATCTCTTCCTTGGATGGCTCATTGTCAGCCTAAACTTAATGTAACCAAAACCGAACTCATCATGCCCTTGTTTCTCTGGTGCTATTGACCTCACCAGTCCTCCGTTAGGCCTGGGTGTCGTTTTGATTCTGTCTTCTCTATAGAACTAAGTAGTTATGAGGTGAGAGTATTGCCATAGATCAAAAGAAGGCAAAATATTGTCATAGATCAAAAACAAGAAGAAAGAGGATACAAAGAGTAGAAATAAATGGGCAATTTTAATCATGGCTAAAGGTTAACAGCAGGTCCCATGTGATATATTAAGGATCTAGAAAGGGGGGTGAGTAGTTAGGCAGCAAAATTTGGAGATGACAAAAAGTTATTCCAGTAGGTCAAGACCACAGAGAACTTCAGAGACCTAACGGAGCTAGGTGAGCGGGCAACACAGTGGCAAATGAAATTCTGTATCGATAAATGCATGAAGGGAAACATTTAAACCATCCCTTCATCTCGTAGGGTTCTAAATTAAAATCAGTATAAACTCAGGAAAGGGGCCAGGTTGATAGTGGAAACAGCTCAATGAAGGCCTCTTAGTATGCGGCTGTATTCAGTAAAACAAACAAGATGGTAAGCTGCTAAAGGAATTGGATAGAGAATAGTATAATGTCATTATATAAAAACAATGGTGCAGCCTCTTCTGGAATGGTGTGTGCAGTACTGGTCACCCCATCTCAGAAGGGATACTGCAGAATTAGTGGGGGTTCAGTGAAGGGAGATCAGAATGATTAAGGGCTGGGAAAAACTCATATGTGATGAGAGATTGATAAGCTTGGGAATGTGTAATCAGATTGTGGAGTTTACCACTATCAGATGTCATTGAAGCTAAGGATTTAGCAAGGTTCAAAAAGGGATTGGACCCAACAAAAAATATCAGATTTGTTATAAACAAAACTTTTGGAAAAGATATTAATTTTCATGATTCAGGGTGGATGAGATATAATGTGAAGGGCAGCAGATTGTTTCAGTCCTGCCCACTGTAGCATTCTTACACCTTCTCTCTCTGCATGTCCACTTACATTTATAAATTAGCTCTCCAGTTAAAATCATCCATCACATGAGGATATAGGTGATAGATGCTATTTTAAAGATTCAAAGTTACTTTTAACCTCATTAAGTAACAAAGAACTCTTTAAAAAGAGCAGTATAAATTTTTGGGGAAACTAGATTGTGTGGGCTCTTACACTGTGTTTATTCACTCTCTTTGTTAGATGCCTAGGAGCTATGGTTGTGATTGTTGTAAGTGGATAGACAGAGTAATGAGCACAAGAATTAATAAATTACAAGTGTTCAACCAACTGAAGACTTACATTCTCCTTTTCTTCTTTAAGTTGAATAGACTGAAGTAATATTATTGTTTGTTTGATATAATTTTTTATCCCAAAAAACTGTGCCTTAAAATTGATTGTGGTACATCTCATCAACCTGAATTTATTTAAAGCCTCCTCCAAAGATCATTAAACTCCCTGAAAAGACTCCAGTTTACTTCAATAGACATTGGATTGAGCTCTTAATGTCCCTACCCTTTTAAATGGGGTTGATGTATTACTCCAAATAATGTCGCGTGAGCATTGGCTTGAAGAGAAGAGATGTATCTGTAGTGCTTTGACTTTTTAAACCCACATTAGTTGCTGTTTGTTATAAACTGTGCTATGGTAGCATCCAGAGGTCCCAATCACTATTTGTGGCCCACTTGTGCTATGCAAACATGGAAGGTAACAGTCCCTTGCTCATCCATCATTTTTAACCCCCATCCTCCCAGTCGAAGGACAGACTTTGAGCTAATTGATCAACATAATGATAATGTTTAAGACTGAGGGAATGCCTGAAACAAAACACCTTTTTTCTAGCCATTAATTAATTAATTATTGAGCAACTTTTAGCTAGCCAACCCAACCTAAAGAAAAGTTCATTCTCAGGCCAGCCAGTTATTTATATCAGTTATGATATATTTTTAATTAATTGTTGCCAATATAATTCTACAGTTTTTAATGTTTACGTAAAATTACTGGAAGGCTGAGTTAGATAACTTATTTTTCATATCTCACAAGCAGTTTCTCAGCAAATCAGAATGCTGAATAAGGCTGTGACTCAATTATGTTACGTTACCGAGAACCTTCTTTTTCTTATCAAATGTGTTTTTAAGAAGAAAAGGCTTAAATATACAGGATAATTTGGATCAGGTTGCCATGTACAGTGGTTGGGAACGTGAGCAGATGCCTCTTCCCTCAGCTTATGACTTGTAAAATCATGTAAATAACAAGCAGAAACTTTTCAGTCAGCTCAATAATTGGTGCCTTCCAGTCTGACACCTGAAACATGGGGACACAGTGGCTTTCTTTAATAGTGCCAGCGTATATGCTGATAGGTCTTTTAGAATCGCCAGTGTTTATTAAAAGTACCTGTTATTAAGGTTACTTTGTAGTACTAAAACATTTCTATTAAAAAGCTCTCAGCTGTCTGGAACAGCCATTGTAAAAAATTTAAGTATTCAGGTTACAGATAGAAAAGCTGCTTATTTTCTAAAAGATTCATTTTGGGTACGGTTTATGTGGCAACTTCTTGTAGCTTCAGTTATGACCCTTCTTGAGTGAAATAACCTTATTCACTTGGCAGGAAATGCAAAACGGTTACATTTTCTTAAGTTTTTTTTTCAATATTTTGGCATATTTTGATTAACCAGAGAAAAATACATTAATGTATTTACTCTTTTTTTTTTTTCTCCTTCAGCTGAAGTCTATATAGGAATTGGGAAGCCTGCTGAAGCCACAGCATGTATCCAGGAAGCAGCTAACCTCTTTCCAATGTCACATAATGTCCTCTACATGAGAGGTCAAGTGGCTGAACTTCGAGGACATATTGATGAAGCCAAACGCTGGTATGAAGAGGCCTTATCTATCAGTCCTACCCATGTAAAAAGTATGCAGAGACTGGTAAGTCTTGAGTCCAAATGGATAAACATTTTAACTTCAAGTTGGGCTACTCTGTTTTGGGGGCCTTATTGCATTGATATTATGGTGCCCCAATTTTGGTGTGTTTATAACTCATTTAAATTTATATTTGACCTAAATTATTAATTTCCTGGCTGAGGTGCAGTTTAAAAAAAAAATCAGTTGCTTGTAAGTTGGTGTCAAAGAAAGGGTACTGCTTTTGCCATTTTCATGTGAATTTTGCACTCACGCTAACAAAAATGGCTTAGTTTTGCAGATTTAGATCAAATATGAATGGTCTGTTTTGAGAAGAATGAATAGCTGAGCTTGACTATATCTGAATAGAGGCTACTGTGTATAGTCTAGATCTCATCTTCTTTTTTGTAAATCCACTGTGTTCCATGCTACATATCACATGCATAAAATTCCCAATGATTTAAATGGGACCCATATTATTATGTTCAGTGAGAAATGTACATGATGAGAGGTACTTTTAAAGTCATTGGAATATCAAGTTTTAGCATAAATTTTCAAATAAAGAATAATATACAAATTCTAGACAAAAGGCAGAAGTTCTATTATCTTTAAAAGGTCAGTTATTAAAAGAGTGGAGCTGAAATGATTCCATTCACACTGTCAGATTTAGAAGGTGAATTCTATTTTTTGACTAAAAATACATCAGTGGATATGACTAAAATTGCCAAAACCAGTGAGGGTGAAATTCACCTAGGTACAGAGAACCAGTTGAAGGTTCTGCACCACTGTGAGGTTGCATGGGTGGAGTAGCCATATGTGAGTTTCTTCCCTTCTGTGTCCTCTGGGAAGTGAGGCAGGATCTGGATGTGTTAATATGAATGGGTTTTTGGGAAAAGGATAGAAGAGTCGCTGTTCCAATTCATAGGCTGGAATAGCAACTCTGAAACCTGTTTCCAGGATAAGAATTTAATTCTGTCCAGTTAAGCAGAAAGGAGGGTGAATTCCACCATAAGGGTAAATGTGTTACCTCATAAAATACAGAAATAGGTTTTTTTGTTGTTGTTGTTTTTAAACTATCTGAAAATTGGTTCATCTTTACCTTACCTGGTGAGTTCGAATTACATAGCTCCCTTGCAATGGTTGACAGTGTCAATAGCAACTAAAACATTACTGGAAAACACTGCCTGCTTTATTTTAGGTGCTTGTGATGTCAGCTTGTGATGCTTCCTAAAAACACTTGCATTTCACCTTTAGCAGATTTTTTAAAAGATTATATTTGAACTCTGATCTGGTTTATTAGATTTTTGATTAACAGTATTGGACTGTTAAACTTTTCTCTCCTTATTGTGCTAGGAAGATGGTTTTAAAAATTCAGATTCCCTTTGCTGCACAGCAGAACAGCTGCAAACAGCTTCTCAGACCTAACCTTTTTATTCAAAAGGATAAGCTAGTTTCTGCCTAGGTGCTTATGAATTATTCAGAGAGGTATTTCTCATGTACCGTAAGGGGGAACATATGAGACAAAAGATCAAATAGGAACATAGCAGAGAGAAACTTTTGTGTTTCACTTTTCAGCTTTTCAAGATACTTGAGCCTATTCACAAATGCCAAAAGGTTCTCTTTTTGAAGGAAGCATATGGTAGACCAAAAACAGTGTAGTTAAATAAAAGTTAGAGCTGTATATTATGTTTTCTGCATTATTTTACTTTGAATCCACTTTAAATAAATGTTCTTTACAAACAAAATGCTGTGCAGAATGAATGAGGCATTAAATTTCTTACACAGTTTGCAAGATGAAATATTTCACACTTATTTCTAGTCTTTTACAGCCAAAGTTTCTTTATTTTGAGCTTTTGTATCTAAGTGGTTTGAGTGCTGACTGGAGAACAGTCCATTGCATTTCAGTGAATTTACCAGCCCCTTAAGTGTTTTTTCTTTTTAAAATATGTTTGTAAAAATCTTGTTTATTACTTTGGATCTCTTGTCTTGTTTAAATCAAATCTCAACTGTGTACTTAATGGGGTCAATATAGAGACCAAAATTTGTGATGTATGCTTGTGAATTTTAGGGGGGGGGAGTATGTCAATAATACTTTAAGCACAGGGTTGTCTGTATAACTTCATAGAACAAGGAAGCTACATGACACAGAATGATTCATAGATTCCAAGGCCAGAAGAGATTACTGTGATCATCTAGTCCAGTGTTTCTCAAACTTTTGTATTGCTGACCCCTTTCACACAGCAAACCTATGAGTGCAACCCCCCTTATAAATCAAAAACACTTTTTTTTTATTTAACACTGTTTTAAATGCTGGAGGCAAAGCGGGGTTTGGGGGTGGAGGCTGACAGCTCGCGACCCCCCCATGTAATAACCTTGTGACGCCCTGAGGGGTCATGACCCCCAATTTGAGAACCCCTGATCTAGTCTGACCTCCTGTATAATAAAGGCCTTAGAATTTCCCCAAAATAATTCCTACAGTATATCTTTTAGAAAAACATCCAATCTTGATTTAAAAATTGTCAGTGATGGAGAATTCACCATGACCCTTGGTAAGTTCTAATGGTTAATTACTCTCACTATTAAATATTTACACCTTATTCCAGTCTGTATTTCTGTAGCTTCAATTTCCATCCATTGGATCGTGTTATACCTTTCTCTGCTTGACTGAAGAGCCCATTACTAAACATTTGTTCCCCACGTAGATACTTATAAACCATGAGCAAGTCACCCCTTACCCTTCTCTTTGTTCGCTCTTCTCTGAACCACCTCCAATTTATCAATATTGTTCTTGAATTGTGGGCACCAGAACTGGACACAGTATTCTAGCAGCACTCACACTAGTGTCAAATATAAAGGTAGAATATCCTCTCTATTCCTACTCAAGATTTCCCTCTTAATGCAGTCCTTGGATGGATAAGCTCTCTTGGCAACAGCATTGCAGTGGGAGCTCATGTTCAGCTGATTATCTCCTACCACCTTCAAATAGTTTTCAGAGTCACTGCTTCCCAAGATAGTCCCCCATCAAATATGGCCTACATTCTTTGTTCCTAGATGTAGACATTTACATTTGGCCATATTAAAACATATTGTTTGCTTGGCCCTAGCTTACTGAACTGTGCAGATCACTTGAAATCAGTGACCTATCCTCTTCATCATTTACACAGACCCTTCTCCTGATTTTTGAGGCATCTGCAAACTTTATCAGTGATGATTTTATGTTTTCCAGGTCATTGATAAAAATGTTAAATAGTGTAGGGCCAAGAACCTATCCTTGCAGGATCCCCTTGGAAACACAGCTGTTCAATAGTAATTCCCCATTTAAAATCACATGTTGAGACCTATCAATTAGTCAGCTTTTAATCCATGTAATGTGTGCCATGTTAATTTTATATCTTTCTAGTTTTTTAATCAAACTGTCATACAGTACTCAGTCAGATGCCTTAAGAAGTCATCTACATTATCACTGATGTTGGAAAAACATATGTCGCTCAGCGGTGTGAAAAAAACCCACACACCCTGAGCGGCATAAATTTCACTGGCATAAGCACTCATGTGCACAGCACTATGTCGGCAGGAGAGCTTCTCCCACCGACATAGCTACCACTGCTCATTGAGGTGCTTTTATTATGTTGATGGGAGAGCTCTCTCCTGTCGGCATGGAGGAGCTACATGAGCAATCTTACAGTGGCAGTGGCGTAGCTGCATCACTACAGCTGTGCCGCTGTAAGTTTGCTAGTGTAGACATGGCCTTAGTATATTACATTAATATCAGTAATACTAACTAGATCAAATTTATGCTTTATCAACCAAACTTGTAATCTCATTTAAAAAAAAACCACATCAAATTAGTTTGACACTATCTATTTTCCAAACCAAAGTTGATTGGCATTAATTATATTACCATTCTTTATTCGTTATTAATCGATTCCTGAATGAGCCATTCCATTATCTTGCCCAGAATCAATGTCAGACTGCCAGGCCTATAACTACCTGGGTCATCCCATTTATTCTTTTTAAAAATTGGCACAACACTACCTTTCTTCCAGTCTTCTGGAACTTCCCCGATGTTGCAAGACTTATTGAAAATAAACATAAATGCTTCAGCACATTCCTCAGCCAGCTCTTTTAAAACTCTTGAATGCAAGCTGTCTGGATCTGCTTGTTTAAAAATGTCTAACTTGAGTAACTGCTGTTTAACATCCTTCTGAGATACTAGTGGAATGGAAAGAGTGGTGTTATATATGACTACATCATCTTTCTTTCCCAAATACAGAAAAGAAATATTTATTGAACACTTTGGCCTTTTCTGCATTATTTATAATTCTGCCATTTCCACTTAGTAATGGACTAATGCCATTGTTAGAATTCTTTTTGTTCCTAATATATTTTTAAAATTCCTTATTGTCCTTACCTCTGCTGGCCTTAGATTTCCCCTTGTGTCCCTTTGCTTCCTTTATCAATTTTCTACAGTTCAGGGCTTCCAATTTATGTTCATTACTATCAATTTCTCCAGTCTTCCATTTGTTATATAGTAATTTTTATTTTTTATAGTTGCCTTCATTCCCCCTTTAAACCAGGTCAGTTTTTTAACCAATATGGCCTTCTTTCTCTGTTATGGCTTTTTGGGGCATCTTCAACAATTTCAAATTATCATTCGTATTTTTCTGATAAAATTCTTCCTCCCAGTTGATCTGGCTCCTAATTGTTTTCAGTTTTGTGAAACTGATCCTATTAAAGCACCAAGTATATATATCCCTGGTCTGGCTTTATTCTGTTTGCACATTATAAATGTGTTGAAGTCATGATCATTTGTACTTAAGTTACCATTAATTTTTAGCTCTGTGATCAGTTCCTCTTCATCTGTCAAGATGAGGTCTAATATAAAATTCCCCTCATGTTGGATGCAACACTTTCTGAGTTAGGAAATTTGTCATCTATAACATTGAGGAATTCCAAGATGTTTTAGTACTGGCAACATGAGACCTCCAGCATGTGTCACTCAAATTGAAGTCTCCCATGATCACACA